TTGGACGTTCCACCAATATTATCCAAAGTCTGTGTACTATAGCATACAATTATTGGTGATTTTGATCGTGAAAAAGTTTTTGGGACGTTCCACCAATTTTACCCAAAATCTTTGTACAGTATACAGTTTTTGGTGATTTTGACTGTGAAAATATTTTTTAGACGATCCACCAATGTGAATAAAAAATTTGTGTACTATAGCATACAGTGTTTGGTGATTTTGATCATGAAATTTTTTTCGGGACGTTCCACCAATTTTACCCAAAATTTGTGTACTATAGTATACTGCTTTTGGTAATTTTGATCGTTAAATAGTTTTTTGGACGTTCCACCAGTTTTACCCAAAATCAGTGTATGGTATACAGTTTTATGTGATTTTGATTGTGAACATGTTTTTTGGACATTCTACCAATTTTATTGAAAATCTGGGTACTATAGCATACATTTTTTGGCGATTTTGATCGTGAAATAGTTTTTTGGACGTTCCACCAATTTTACCCAAAATATGTGTACTATAGCATATAGTTTTTGGTGAATTTGATCGTGAAATAGTTTTTTGGACGTTCCACCAATTTTACTCAAAATGTATGTACTATAGCATTGGTGATTTTGATCGTGAAATTTTTTTTAGGACGTTCCACCAATTTTACCCAAAATCTGTGTACAGTGTTTTTTTGATTTTTATCGTGAAATAATTTTTTGGACGTTCCACCAATTTTACCTAAATTTTGTGTACTAGTGTACAGTTTTTGGTGATTTTGATCGTGAAATAGTTTTTTGGATGTTACACCAATTTTAACTAAAATTTGTGTACTATATAGTATACAAGTTTTGGTGATTTTGATCGTGAAATAGTTTTTTAGACATTGCACTAGTTTTTTGTACTATATAGCATACAATTTTTGGTGAGTTGATCGTGAAAAAGTTTTTTGGACGTTCGGCCAATTTTACCCAAAATTTGTGTACTATAATAGTATACAATTTTTGGTGATTTGGATCGTGAAAAAATTTTTTGGACGTTGCACCAATTTTATCCAAAATATGTATACTGTAGTATACAATTTTTGGTGATTTTGATCGTGAAATAGTTTTTTGGACGTTGCACCAATTTTAACTAAAAATTTGTGTACTATATATAGTATAAAGTTTTTGGTGATTTTGATCGTGAAAAAGTTTTTTGGACGGTCTACCACTTTTACCCAAAAACTATGTTCTACAGTATACAGTTTTGGGTGATTTTGATCGTGAAATTTTTTTTTGGACGTTCCACCAATTTTATCCAAAATCTGTGTACTTTTAGCGTACAGTTTTAGGTGATTATGATCATAAAATAGATTTTTGAGACGTTCCACCAATTTTACCCAAAATTTGTGTACTATTATACAGTTTTTTGTGATTTTGATCGTGAATTTTTTTTTTTGGACGATTCACCAATTTTATCAAAAATTTGTGTACTATAGCATACATTTTTTGGTGATTTTGATCGTGAAAAGGTTTTTGGGACGTTCCACTAATTTTACCCAAAACGTTGTGTACTATAGCATATAGTTTTTTGTGATTTTGATCGTGAAAAAGTTTTTTGGACGTCCCACCAATTTTACCCAAAATTTGTGTACTATAGTATATATAGTTTTTGGTGATTTTGGTCGTGAAAAAGTTTCTTGGACGTTCCACCAATTTTACCCAAAATCTATGTACTATAGTATATAGTTTTTGGTGATTTTGATCGTGAAATATGTTTTTGGACGTTGCGCCAATTTTAACTAAAATTTGTGTACTATAAAGTATACAGTTTTTGGTGATTTTGATTGTGAAAAAGTTTTTTGGACATTCCACTAATTTTACCCAAAATGTGTGTACTATAGCATATAGTTTTTGGTGAATTTGATCGTGAAATAGTTTTTTGGACGTTCCACCAATTTTAGCCAAAATTTGTGTACTATTATAGTGTACAGTTTTTTGGGATTTTGATCGTGAAATGGTTGACATTCCACAAATTTTACCAAAAATATGTGTACTAGAGTACATTTTTTGGTGATCTTGATCGTGAAATAATTTTTTGAACGTTCCACCAATTTCATCCAAAATCCATGTACTATAATAGCATACAGTTTTTTGTGATTTTGATCGTGAAAAAGTTTTTGGGACGTTCGACCAATTCTACCCAAATTTTGTGTACTATTAGCATACAATGTTTGGTGATTTTGATCGTGAAATTGTTTTTTGGACGTTCCACCAATTTTACCCAAAATATGTTTCCTATTATAGTATATAGTTTTGGTGATTTTGATCGTGAAATAGTTTTTTGGACGTTCCACCAATTTTACCCAAAATCTGTGTACTAGTATACAATTTTTGGTGATTTTGATCGTGAAATAGTTTTTTGGACGTTCCACCAATTTTAACTAAAATTTGTGTAATAGTATACAGTATTATAGCATACAGTTTTTTGTGATTTTGATCGTGAAAAAAGTTTTTTAGACGTTCCACCAATTTTACCCAATGTATGTGTACTATATTATACTGTTTTTGGTTATTTTGATCGTAAAATAGATTTTTTGATGTTCACTAATTTTAACTAAAATCTATACGTTTTTTTTAAGATTTTGCTCGACTAATCAAAAATTAGTGAAATCAAATTTAGAAAAATTATTTGTTCACTATTAAAGAATATATATATTTGAGTGTCAAAAACTATTAAAAAAAATTATATTTATGTTATTTCTAGCCATAAACTGATTTGACTTGTTTAATTTAATGTATTGGGTTGAAATTGGGCTAGGAAGACCGGATTTTCAATCCAGAACATAGTTAATGAGATTTTTCATTAGATTCTATGGTCAGTCTATTGAGTGAATGATCTTTTTCCAGATTTTGGGTTTTCTAAGAAAATGGGTCTATTATTTTCAATTTTTCTACAAAATTAAAAAACTCAATAATTCCTGACGATGACAATTTGATTTAATAAAAATGTAATGCTGCTTAATAAGTAACAGGTTCAACCAAAAGAGTGATTGAAAAGCACACATTATTAGGCAATAACTAAAATTCGAACCAAACACCCACAGTAAAGTGTCCAAATGAGAAGCTCAATTAAATTTTGCAATGAAAAAAATAAAACCACAATTTTTCTCCTCCAGTCAAAATCCTACAATAATAAAAACGACAGATAGAAGAATATAGCAATGGTCCAGGCTCGACGGGATTGAAAAATGCATGCTCCAACAAATTTAAACTAACTTATAGTCATGCAAAGAAGAAAAATAATATTATTATTAAGCAGTTGCCGATTGTGTAGCCAGCCTTATGCTTGTCACGATTCTTGAGTATTCCAACACGGCCTCTGGTCCTACCACCAGTCACCATCACAACATTTCCGACATCGAATTTGATCAAGTCCAAATCCAGTTTGCCTTGATAAGTGATTAAGTGGGTCCGGATAGCGAATGGTCTTCCATTGTATGTGTTGATGATGTATGGAATACCCTTCTTTCCCAACTGAGCTGAGGCGGACTTTGCATAGCTTAAACTGCACATTAATAAAATGAATACAGAAGATCGCATTACTACAGTTCCAACAACGAACAATAAATTCAACATCAAAAATAAATTATATCGACTGAGTTTTATAGCTAATTCTTAGAGTATTATTTTTCAAGAAATAGCAGTGTACTTAGTATACATGTTAATCATCAGAACAATTAGTAAAAGGTGGTAATGATATACAAACCATGGCTTCCTCATCCCTGATCGAGTGTAGCCTGAACCTTCCTTCCCTTAGTGTCATACAGAAGACAAAAGTTCTCACTGGTCTTTGGGATAGAGACAACATCTACGAAAAAATAAGGTATTAAATAAATCTTAACAAAAAATAAGTCCAAAACTACAAAAAATAAAATTTTATGTGATCAGAAAGCAAATAATAATTCACGTCATGAAGATAGCATAGATTTCTACACAAAGTGCAAGTCCACCGTCCATGCAACATAGCTTTGCTAACATAGACTATCTTTATAACAAAATAATCTCGAAAAGAAAATAAGGGCATACCCATAAAACCAGCTGGATAAGTCTTTCCCGTCAACAAGCTAAGGATGTGACGTTGCATCAGAATGGCAATAACCTCACGGTATGTAAATGAGCATATTTCGCGGAAATGAGAATCAAGGGCAAGGCAAGCATTCCCTTGATTTGCATTTCGGAAGAAGGTTCTCTCCAATCAGCATCATCCAGGGGAATTGAACATCCAGAACATGATCACCGTAAATTCAAATACATGAATTTCTTAACACACTGTTGTTGATCTATTACTGTATTACATGAATCCTCTAAACAACTTTCGATTTAAAATTAAAAATATATGTATATATATATATATATATATATATATATATATATATATATATATATATATATATATATATATATATATATATATAATAGGAAGGGAATTTCTGATATATCAAAGCACACGAGAGACGACGCAATCAACACTAGGTCATCCATTTTCAGGTACATATACAATCACGTATACAAGGAAACTAACTACGATTAGGGGTCTAGAATCACTCCAGAGTCAACTTATACAATGTATTTATATCAATTAATAATTCTGTAACACAAATGAAATACAAATTTGCAGTTATTTTTACACCTCAAATGAGAACAAGATTTCACCAACTGGCATAAATATACATACATATATCTTACTTTGCTTGTTCGGATGTTCATACAGAGCAGAGCATAAACATAAACACCAGATATTACAAAAAGAAAAGAAAGTACAAAATAAAAAATAAACCTTAAAACATTTCAACTTCAAGAACCAAATTTGCATTCTAGTCTAACTTCCCAAACAATAAATCAGAATTGAGCATATTTACCCAAATTAGAAAGCCGAATCTAGAGATTGATTCTTCACAGGTTTTATCATCTTCCAAATGGTGTTACAATTATCTTTTGATGGATCCAACTCAAACTTGTCAACAGCTCTCTTATCTCTCACCACGATATCTGAATGAGGGGGTTAACGAAAAAAATTCTTGGGATTTATGAATATATTGTAAATATTGAAATGCTTTATTACGAATAACAAGCAAATATTATTCTGAAATATATATATATATATGTACGCAAACTAAGAAGGATACGGCCTGATAATTTGGATTCATCGTCCTCCAAGTCTGGAATGGTATTTGTCACAGAAGCATACATTGAAAGCTTCATCCTGCAACACCAAAAGGAAATTGTATAAGCTGCTGCTAGTTAGTAAACACATTACAGAGCCACAATGTAAAGTAGATCATATCGTTGTGTAAATGCATATAATAATTCATTTCATCAAATTGCAGTTAAATCTGCAACAATAGTTGGAATTGAATAATATCGTTATGCATTGCACATAGTTTATCGGCATCGGACAATTTTCTTGATGTGAAAAACTTAAACAAGAAATCAGGTCACCAAGGTCCAAACAATTAATTATTGAAACAAATTGGGGGGTGGGGGGGTTGTGAAGAAATGAAACAGCTAAATAACAGCATGGCTAGAACATGATTTCTAAAAATATGGTGGTCACCATGTTCTAGTAGCAAGAAAGAGATACCACACTAAGTATAACAGAAATGAGAAAAATATTGAAGTTTCGGATGACTTACTGAGCTCTCAGTTCATTTTGATCAACTTTCTTGATTTTTTGAAATTCTTCTTCGGTATAGACCCTCCGACGGTCTAGATCATCAACTCCATTGGTAATTACTGTGTTTTTTCACAAAAGAAGTTGTTAATTTATAATACTGTTGGCCGGAAGATAAATGGCTGAAAACAAACCATAATAATACTTATCTAATATCCTCCCTATGCTTCCGTTCTAATTGATGTTCCTCATCCAATACTTTCTGCAACGAATCTAACACAGCATCTGCTACAGTGTCAGATTCTGTAACTGCCGCTTCTTGCTTGCATGCATTAATCTTCCTCTTATAGTCTGTGATAAGGATAAACTATCAGCATCAATGTAGTCAAAATCGAGTTCTAAATCGTAAGACTTTAAGATTTTACACACTGAAAAGGACTAAGAGAGGACTAAATCGCAAGTGCCTTAAAATCGTGTGAAATCGCGTTCAAAATCGTTAAAAACGCGATTTTAGTGCGATTTTGGTTTTTGTCAAGAATTTGGCTGAAACTTTGGATTATAGCCTCATAAATTCAGTTTTTTAACTAAAAAAATTCAGCCAATTACCAAATAATCCATAATATATAAAGCTCAGCCGAAATTTGCCCTAAAATAACAATCTATCACGACGAGAAGAAAATACTTCTCCTCTGTTAAAAAAAAACATCCAGCGGCTGTGAGTGTCCAGTTTCAGTTATCTCCTAACACAGCTATCTTTAACTAATGTTAAAACATGTTTTTTTAATGTTGGGATGTTATATATTTGTTAGGACATATTTTATGTATATTATGACTTATTTTATTTGTGTTGCGGATGTTTTCTAAGTAGTAAGTACTAAATATATTTATTTTACAATACATGTAAAATCTTACGATTTTTTACGTTTCCGATTTGACTACCCCTCTCCGATTTCACTTAAAATCCCGATTTTAACTACCTTGATCAGCATAGTAAAACTAAGGAATATATGATATCCATTACACCACATTGCCGCAAGTATGTCGCATATATCCAATTCAAGAACAAGGCAGTAGATTAAGAATTTCAAAAAGCTCATTCCTATATCACACAACCGGTGGGATTTTCAAGAATCAAGAACTCTATTATATAACTACAACCGATATACTTACGTCACATTCTGTTTAAGCAACACGATTGCAGATAGCAGATGATCTTTATCTGCCGGGCTGAGTTTATTATTTTTCTAATATTTAGTCAGTAATGACTCCAAACATACAGAAAGTGCTAAACCAAATGGTGAGGGAAAAAAAAAAAAAATGTTACAGAACCACCACCCAACCCAATTCCTTTTCTCACACGATGTATATAATTTCGTACCAATATCAATATTGCGCAATCCGATGCGGTAAAATAATGCAATGCGAAACATCTTATACACTAGGAATTTCAAAATTTTGCCCACTCATCAAAATAAGATCAACATAAGATATCTAAATGAAGGCTGTCAAAAAAAAAAAAAAATTCTAACTACTAAGTAAACTTCCACAGCATCAGAAAAATATTCTACAAACAATTTAAAGTCATCTTCTGTAAAAGAGATTAGATTTGAAGGGGAAAAAGGAAAAGACCTTGAATGGAGGTCGCGACTTGGTTGTGATGTTTGGGCCAATGTGACTGAGATGATTCGGTATGGCGCAGAAAATGGTTGAGCACAAAAGCATCCTTCTCCTCTTTCAGAACTTGTATCAGATTGTTGCTGTAATTCATCAGCTCTTCCATATCCAATTTTCGCCATTTCTCTCCCATTCTGTTCTCTTACGATTAAGATTCAATAATCCGCCGAGGGTTTATAGCAGTGGCGGATCCTTCTGCACACCCTTGATTTTGAATAAAAAAATATTCACTATGTATGCATTGAGCTATATAGATTTTGATGTGTGAACTTGTTGTTAGGGTTTATAGCAGTGGCGGATCCTTCTTGCACACCCATGATTTTAAATTAAAAAAATATTCCTTATGGCGTTATATAATTTTTGATGTATGTTGTGTTTCTAACGTTGTTCTTGCTTTAATGGTAAAGTATACAGGTCCTTTTTGGAATGTACAGCGTTCGAACCCCTTACTAGGGCACTGCAAGTTTCTTTTTTCTTTTTTTCTTTTTGTAATATTAATGACTTTTTTTAAATATTTATGGCACTATATTTCAAATATACCTTTAAATTCTTAATTTTCATATATATTTATGGTACTAATATTTAAATACATATTTATATTCTTTTATATATATATCTATCTATATAATATATAGAATAGAAGTTGAATTCCACACCTAATTGATTGACATTTGTCAATTTCAATTGGTGACATGTATTCAATTTCATCCCATGTTGCAAATTGATTGGTGAAAATAAATCATCAAAAAACATGTCATCATTTTCCAAAATTAAAAAAAAAAAATTAATTATTTTATTATATATTTATATCATACCATTTATAAAATGCTCTAAATATATCAACTTTCTTGGAAACTCTAAATAGTCTTTTTTTAATTTAATTTTAATACGAATTAATTTAATTTAAATTTATCTAAATTCAATTTAAAATCTTCACTTATTATAATTGTATGATTGATGGTGTTACGAAAATTTTGTATTTTAATTCATAAACTTGGATCTATATAAAAAAATTATTGCAGAATAAATCATTTGATATTATACATTTTACATGAACAGGGCCAGATAATATGTTTATCTTTTTTACTAATTTAATATCATATTCGTAATTACCAAAATTTTCCTAATATTTGTTTCCGTCTTACATCGATCCCCGGTATGATTTTTCACGAATTTTTTTTATTACGTGGAATATTCCCCGAAAAATGCAGATTCTACCCTGCACACGACATTTGTTTATGGTATTTTTTAAAGACAAAAATTACCCTGAGGGGGACTTTACACGAAATATTTATTCTTCTTAAATAACATCTTCACAACTTTTTAGTATTATTATTACCTCCCCTAAGGGTAATTTTTGTATATAAAAAATAAGATAAAAAAAATGTCACGTCTGCAAGGGTAGAATCCACAATTTTTTGGATATTACATTGAATAAGAAAGATTCCGTAAAAAATCACACCACAAGGGGGCCGTGTAAGACATAAACAGACATCTGGGGGATTTGGGTAGTTACCGATAAGTGGGGGTGCTTTCCGTAATTTAGCCTAAGTTTCATGAGATTTTCGTAATTTATTCTATTAACAACGATTATTGTTCTTTTCACGTCTTACCGTTTGCTTATACCCTTATATTATTTTTAATAATTTTAATGTCAGTTTGATAATATAATTAAATATTAATTTCTAATATATTTAATATGTGTTTTTTGATGTTTCACGTACCACACATAAGAAATTTGATATAAAAGTTGCGAGATTGAATAGAATTATTTTTTATACAAAATAATAGATAATTGCAAAAACATTGATGCAAAATCAGAATTAGGATTGTGATTAGTATTAGCATTAGAATTATGATTTTGGAATTAGTATTAGTATTAATACTAGGATTAGGATTCGGATTAATATAGTATTATTATTAATATTAGGATTAGGATAATGATTATGATTAATATTAATATTTGAATTATAATTAAGATTGTGATTATTGATGAGTACTACAATTAGTGACATGTATTAGTATTATGATTATGATTAGCATTATGATTAGTAATATGGTTAGAATTAAAATTAGAATTATAATTAGAATTAACATTAGCATTAGCATTAATATTATTAGTAGTAAAATTATTAGGATTATAATTAATGTTAGAAATAGGTTTAGGATTATGATTATGATTAGGATTAGAATCATGATTAGTGTTATGAATATGATTATGAATACGATAAGGATTTGAATAATATTAGTATTACAATTATAATCAGTATAAGCATAGTATAAGCATATCCAGGTTAACATTAACATTAAAATTAGTATTAGCATTAGAATATGTACATTAGCATTAACATTAACAATATTAACATATTAGTATTAGTAATAGTATTAGTATTAGTATTAGTATTAGTATTAGTATTAGTATTAGTATTAGTATTAGTATTAGTATTAGTATTAGTATTAGTATTAGTATTAGTATTAGTATTAGTATTAGTATTAGTATTAGTAATAGTATTAGTAATAGTATTAGTATTAATATTAGTATTAATATTAGTGTTAATATTAGTTTTAGTATTAGTATTAGTATTAGTATTAGTATTAGTATTAGTATTAGTATTAGTATTAGTATTAATATTAATATTAATATTAATATTAATATTAGTCTACATATCAGTATCAGTATCAATATCAGTATCGGTATCATTATAGGTATCAACATTAGTATCAGCATCAGTATCGGTATCGGCATCGGTATCGGTATCGGCATCGGTATCGGTATCGGTATCGATATCGGTATCAGTATCGGTATGAGTATCAGTATCATTATCAGTATCAATTTCAGTTTCAGTATTCATATCCGTATCAGTATCAGTATTAGTATCAGTATCAGTATTAGTATCAATATCAACATTTGTATCAATATCAGTATCAGTATGAGTATGAGTATCAGTATCAATATCAATATCAATATTAGTATCGATATTAGTATCACTATCAGTATCAGTATTAGTATCAATATCAATATCAATATTAGTATCAGTATTAGTATGAGTATCAATATGATTGTGAATATCAGTATGAGTATGAGTATCAATATTAGTATGAATATCAGTATTAGTATGAGTATCAATATGAGTATCAATATTAATATTACTATGAGTATCAGTATGAGTATCGTTATTAGTATCAATATCAATATCAATATCAGTATTAATATTAGTATTAGTATTAGTATTAGTATTAGTATTAGTATTAGTATTAGTATTAGTAATAATATTAATATTAATATTGCTATGAGTATCAATATTAGTGTCAATATCAATATCTGTATTAATATTAGTATTAATATAACATTATTATGAGTATCAGTATGAGTATAAGTATTAGTATCAGTATAAGGATTTTTATTGTTATTAATATCAGTATTAGTCTTAGTATTAATATTAGTATTACTATTAGTGTTATTTTTAGTATCAATATCACTATTAGTATCACTATAAGTATCAGTATTATTATTAGTATTAGTATTAGTATTAGTATTAGTATTAGTATTAGTCTTAGTATTAGTATAACTATCATTATCAATATAAGTATCAATATTATTATCAGTAGTAGTATCAATATTAGTATTATTCTTAGTATTAATTAGTATTAGTATCAATATGAATATTAGTATTAGTATTAGTATTATTATTAGTATTAATATTAGTATTGGTATGAGTATGAGTATGAGTGTTAGTATTAGTATCAGTATTATTATTAGTATCAGTATTAGTATTAATATTAGTATTAGTATCGGTATTAGTATTGGTATTAGTATCAATATTAGTATTAATACAAATATTAGTATTAATATCAGTATTAATATTAGTATTAGTATTAGTATCAATATTAATATTAATATTTGTATTATTATCAATATTAGTATCGGTATTAGAATTAATATTAGTATTAGTATTAGTATTAATATTAGTATTAATATTAGTATTAGTACCAGTATTAGTACCAATATTAGTATTAGTATCACTATTAGTATTAGTATTAGTATTAATATTATTATTAGTATTAGTATTAGTATTAGTACTAACCGAATTAGTATCACTATTGGTAGCAATATTGGTATTGGTATTGACATTGATATTGGTATCAACATTGGTTTTAGTACTGGTAGTGGCGTATACAACATATCTTTTTTGCAATATTTATAAGTTTTATTGTTTGAGTAATATGCATCACTAATTGAATGCCATTAGTGATAAACTTGCAGATTATTTGAATATCTATTGTGTTACTTCTCTGCTACCGTGTTTGTTGTTACCTTAGTTATTTTGCAGAAGATTCACATGGTGTAGTAGATTGCAATCCAAGAAATAGTGTTATACCATATGTTTTAAATAATTTCACTTAATCTTGATATCGTGTTTTGCGTGCTTCATGTTTTCTTATTTGTAATATTTAACTTAATTTCATATGTTACAACTCTAAATTAAGAGATAAAGTTTATGTTTTTTATTTTCTTCCATTTTGTTTTACTTGAATTGGTATTGTTATAAAGAGATAGTCGTTTACATAAGTTTATTTTTCTCATTTTGAAACTGACCTCCGTGCAACGCACGGGTGAAATACTAGTATTATATATAAACCTAAAATACCCAATTATTTTTTTTCCAATTGAGGAGATTGAGTCCAAATTGTTTAAATAATTTCAAAAAAACCCCACTTACCATAATCACCAATGTTATTAATTAATTGATTTCATATTAAGTTTTCAAATTTTATTTCTCCTACACGTTAAAATACCGTATTTTTATTGGTTAATAAGTTTCCTTTTTTAATCAATTGTTTGATAGTAAATACGTAAATATATAAATGCACATATGACATAATTCTTCTTTTTGGTTAATGAGATTTTATACACAATATTTATATTAATTGCAAAACAACCCCACTTACAAGAATCACCCATATTATTAATGAAATAATTTCATATTATTGGTTTTCAAATTTTATCACTCTTACATGTTAAAATAGTGTCTTTTTATTGGTTAATGAGTTTCCTTTTTACAACCAATATTTTGACTAAAAAAACGTAGGAGCTATATGCAATATTTATAATTTCTCAATTGAGGAAATTTATACACAATATTTATATAAATTGCAAAAAAAAACCACTTGCAATAATCACTCATATTATTAATGAAATAATTTCACATTAGATTG